AATCTCCCCAAAACCCCAAAACCCCAAAACCCCTCACGTCATTATTAATATTGACAACTAATATTAATTAAGGCTAAGGAATATTCACCGGAAGCCAAATTTTTAGAAGTCTTTAAAAATTCAAAACAAGCTAGAGAATTAAAAATGATCTAGTTTTATTCTCTATATTTGTAGTTTGTGCCGTGCAAATCTGAGAGATGTCTTAATAGTTTGAAGTATCAGAAATGTGGCAAAAGATTTTACAACAGATTATATAAAGTTATCCTGAACTAATGATACTTGAGCACCTCGCTTCTGACAATGCTGTGTTTTATCAAATAAACCTCATAACTATATTTGTTACTACTAGCTTTATAAAATTTGATTCATTTTGACTATGATCAAAACCTGGTTTAATATCTATTTTTTCTAGATTCATGAATTTGGAAAAATAAAATATTTCAAATCTAATCTCTAGATTTAATCACCGATAAACTGCAGGGCCCTTAAGTCCCCAATACAGTGTATCACCTGAACTAAATACTCATAGATTCTCTTCTAATCCAAGAAGTAGAAGTTTAACAGAAATAATATTCCGAAATATGTATGTAAACCATGTTTCTAGAAAAATAAATATTTTCTGATTCATGTACTTGGAAATACTCAAGACGAAGATATAACAACAACTAGCCCTCTGAAGAGAGATGATGAACAAGTCTTTGTAACTGGGCATAAAATCGATTGAGAATGTCAAAATATATATTTCGGACCCGCACCAGCAAGCAATAAGCAGTATGAAACTCAGAAATAACAAGAGTTTGTCGGGTATTAATAAAGTGACGTTTCCAGCTTTATCAAGAATCGGGTGACTCAGGTTTCTCTCTTCCTTCGGTTCTAACTTTTGGTATTGAGAGTAAATTCTCAAATAAGAATTATATTTGAACATTTTATATGTACAAAAAGATAAAGTCGGTAAAAATCAAATTTGGCATTCTGAATAGGAGAATAATTCTTATGATAAAGTTATTAAGGTTAATTAATCGGATATTTGAGGCTTCTCAATATCCTTCATCGTTATCTCTTTGACATATGCCTTCCTCCTAGCGTTACCATCTCTTTTTCTTTCACCATCTTTTGGAGGTATGTCAAGATGGTGGTGAGATCTCTCACGTAAGTTCATAATTTGGTGAAGCAGCTCTTTAATGTCGCTTTGGAGGTTATGATTTCTTGGTGAGAATTCTGAGATCATCTTCTCTGAATGGAAAGGATTCCATACCATCCCACTCTCTTTATGCATAGAGAAAGCATCAGGGTTATTTCAATCAACTCTAGGCGTTCATGATTTATGTGAACGTCTGAAAGAAGCTTCACTATGAAATGCAGAGTTAGACATATTTTCTTCCAAGTGAGATAGTTTCTTTACACTTGAGACTGAGACATGCTCGTCTAGAAATTCATCTGATAAGTTTTCTTCACATTCCAGTATTTTCTTCATATTTACTAATTATTATTAACAACATCAATGGTGGCCATCTTATATGGGGTTTTGGGGTTTTGGGGTTTTGGGGTTTTGGGGTTTTGGGG